CACAGGGATAAAGGTAGTGAGATACAATATGAGGATTTGTGTTTGTGTTTTATTTTCTGTACTGCAGTAAATCTTCAGAATATAAAATAATGAGAATCCTGAAGCAAAAATGTTTCCATTGTCTAGGCTCCAGTGACGTCAGCTAACATTTAGTAGCCATTAAACAAACAGTGAACACATCCTGAAGAATATTTACTAGTATTACAAAATACTTCTGCTGGATTGTAATTTTATTTATGTTTTATTAAATGGGTACAATTCTAATAATTGGTGTCACAATACTACAAAGTATTCTGAACTGGAACAAAGCTACCAGACTATGAACAATATATTCTTTTTTTATTTGAATTTTATTACCCTACAGTTAAAGTTTGTCAAAGTGTTGGGAAATGTTTTTATATTCTTTGAGGCACATTAAAAAAAATTAAAAGATTGATTACTTTAAGTCTGCAATAACTCAGTTCCCCCAAGTGGGGCCCCGCCCCTCACTTTGTAAACCTGTGCTTCAAAGACATGGGCCATTTTTCTCTGTAACTGACGGTGACTGTGTAGTAACGGCGAAGGAAAACACAGTACACTGCAGTATGTCTCCAGTATTAGCACTTCTGTTGAAGGGATCCGACAGACGAAGGTCCAGACTGGAACTAAAGCAGTTTCTCTGACCGCAGCGGAACCGTCCATGTGGGTGTCATGAAACTATTTGTTATCTTTGAAAATGAAATGACATTTTGTCTGATTGGTTTAGAGCTAAGTCACTTTATTTCAGTGTATTTGAATTAAATTACAGCCTGCGTCATTTTCCTGCTGTCATTTCACCAAGGACAACCTGCTGTGTAGGTTTCACACTGAATTATTTCTGGGTTTTCTTTCTTCTTATTGTGTTCTGTCCCTCAGTCTGTCCATGGATGTGGGACAATCTGACCTGCTGGCAGGCGGCCCGTGTTGGTGAAGTCGTAATGGTCAACTGTACGGAGCTCTTTCATGACATCATGAGTCCTGAGGATGGTAAACAACACCAGAATGTTTTTATCATTATTCTTATATGTTGGTCGTTAGATGAGGTGAAGAAACAGGTCGTGGCCAGTTGTCCCCCAGTATTTAACTAGTGTTTAAACTTGAGAATATTTCTTAAAAAATATATATTCATGTTTTTAGTCTTTTGTCAAATTTGTCGCATTTTTTAAGCTGTTTTTTTGCAAACAGCACCTACAGTATCTCAGCAACAAGCACAGCTATATTTGATTAGTTATATCTTAACTACAGGCACACTGTGGCTTGACCTGATATGACCACTGCTGATTGGTCAGATGTGATGATGTCACTATCTGTAATGAACAGATAGTGACATCTGTTTTTATTTTGTTTTGTGGACCAAAACCAAATCCTTATCGTTGTTAGTAGAGGTGAGGTTAAACTGTGATTTCGATACAAGCTTCACCTTTATTTCTGGTGTCATTTTCTTTTTCTTCTGTGCAGAGATGGGGAGGGTCAGTCGTAACTGCACGGAGGAGGGCTGGTCGGAGCCGTACCCTCACTACGCGGACGTCTGCTTCTTCTACGACAACACCACCAGACCTGTGCGTCCTCTTTGACCCCATTAATGCCCCCTCACATACTGTGTATATCACTGACACATGCGATAACCCTCTCTCGTCCTCAGGACATGTACTACGCCTCAGTCAAGGCCCTGTACACGGTGGGCTACAGCACGTCACTTGTGTCCCTGACCACTGCCATGGTGATTCTCTGCAGGTTCAGGTCAGCGTCAGGCTGTGAATAACACACGGCAAAATGGAATTCAAAAATCATGATTAAAAAATCATGAAAGATATTGATATGTATAAAAAAACAATATATTAAAAAAATATACAGGAAAAGCATTGTTCAAGCATAAACTCGTTTTTATCTTTGTTGTTTTTGTTTTTTTTCTTTCTGCAGAAAGCTTCACTGCACCAGAAATTTCATTCACATGAATCTGTTTGTGTCCTTCATCCTGAGAGCCATCTCCGTCTTCATCAAGGATGGCGTTCTGTACGCTCAGGAGGACAGCGACCACTGCTTTGTCCACACAGTCAGTATCACCCATGCTTTTCTGTCCAGACACCCAGGTGGTCACTGAAAGGCTCAGTGATAATCACAGTTAACATGGTGGATGGAATAGACTGGATGAGTTCTTTTAATTATTATTGTTATTATTATTTCCAGTGTAATTTTTAACTCTACTTTCATTCATCTTTGAAGGAGATAATTATAGCAATGAGGGCTTTATTATTTTAACTGATCCTTACATGGCTAAAATAATTGCTGGCAGGTTTGATGTCAGCTCACATTGTTTGTGGAGAAAATACGTTGAGAAATGTTGGGCTAATCTGTCCCAGATATCATTATTAAAGGCTTCCATCCAGATGTTTCTCCTCCTCGTACGAAGGTTCTCAGGCCTGTGCACGGCAGGGTTCACCAAGAGACGTGTTTGAATAAGGTTTTGAAGGAAGTTCAATTTAATGCAAATTTCACATGAAGTGCCCGGACAATTAGATGATAAATCTGCC